AGAAGATAGAACAGATTGAATCAACACGTTGAATTATCAGACTTCCATGTAATGTGTAAATTATTCCTCGCATACGGAGAAGAGAAGCTACTATGGACATTGTCTTGGCTGCCAAAAAGAGAGAGCCATTTTCTCCATCACTTGTTTCTTCTTCACTCTTGTACCATACAAGAGCACTAATGCAGGTGGACTAATCCTCCACATCTCTTGTTCATGACAAAAATGTCATAGGTGACGTGATCTAACGCAGTGCGCATGTCTGCGATACCTGCAGTATACTTTCTGGTTTCCGTAGCTGTGCTTGCATAAAACGCAGAGGCCGTTAATTCTGAGCGTTAATTGTGAATTTCATAATATAATTGACTAGATGCCTGCACATTATCAACCACAAGCATTGAGCTCCTTGGCGCACTTGCAAGGTTCTTCTGAGAAAAGTTTGAAGGGCATGGTGCAAGATGGCCAGCAAGTATGATCACAGAATACTGAGCAGAAAAAAAATTATCTGTTCAATGTTCAATCGTCTGCTCTGTTGATCGCATAAATATTGCAAAATATGGATTCCAATACCTCTACTACATGCTCATATTTTGCGCCTGTTCCGAGCAATAATTTTGAGCACTGCGGTGTGCTTAACTCGGTGCTGTAGCAACACAAGTGCTTTTCCGATTGAAATAAATGACGAGGTGTTCAAGGGAGTCACTTAAATTCGGAAATGGTATCGACGTTCGTAACGTCAAGCGCTGCTCCGCAGCCTGAAACAGAGAGGATCCGCCACGAACCTTGTAACACTGGCGCTGAACTGTAGTTGAAAGTTGCAACGACTGCCAAATCTGTTCTGTGGCGCAAAATGATGAGTCTTACTCATTTTTCAAACAATATCAGTAACTCAAGTTGTTGGATCTGTTTTCTGGATAGTTCAAGTGTTTAATAGGTGTTTTCATATGGAAAAAGGGAGTTTGGTCTTTTATGTTCACTGTCTAAAGATTCCAGCAATTTTCTTCATTATATGACTTTCCTTGGCATTTTATTCTCCTGAACCAAGCACTACCTTTCAAAGCGCAGCTTCAGGAGTGAAAACTGAGAGCAACAAAACTAGTACTTTCTTTTTCAGCACAGAGCTAGCTTGAAGGCCGTCCGGGCGGATTTGGACATTCTCGGTTACTATCATAATCGAGTACTAGGGCTGCGATCTAGAACTATGGTGCAAACCTGACCTCCAAACATCCGCTCAAAAAGGAGAAAATTGTCGCACAAAGCCTCGAAATCTCCCAACTCCCCGCTCCACTCCCTGGTGAGGACAACCTCCTCGAGAAATCTTCCCAGACCTTGACACGTTCTCACATGGCGAGCACATTTGGAAGAACAGCGCCAGGGGCTGTCGTCCACAGCTCTAGAAAAATAGTTCTAAAAAAGCATTTCTTGAGAAATTCACCTTTGATTCCATCTTTGGAATCAGCGCCATGAGAACGACCAGCGCCTAGATAAAGCAAAAGTGGAGGTTGAGAATCTGTCCGGACGCAGTCTCAAAAGCGGCGGCTCGAGAAAATTGCAATCAAAGGATTTCGTTGACGACTGCCCCGACTCGTGCAATTACACCATCGTGGGCGCGCCTTTTTGGAACCTTTCCAGCTTGACAGTACGCTGCAGCGCGCGGGGACCTGAGAGCTCGCAGCATCTCTGTCCTTTAACCTCTTTCGATTGCTAAGCATTTCATATCCTTTTTTCTTAAATTTCATTTCAGGCAGTTACTCATTTCAACATATTCACGAAAAGGCCGATTTTTCGATTACTGCCGTTTTGGACCAGAGCCTTTTTCGTGTCAACTTACGACCCACCCATGGGTCGTATTGTCCGAAATGATATTCTATTTTGGAAAAAATTCAACATGTCTCCGAGAATTTTCCCACAAGCTTTCGAAGGCGCTGATTATTAGAATATAATTTATTTCTGTTTTTGGCATTACTCGGTAAGGTTACGGTAGTCATACTGTACGGACCCAACATCATTGATTTTCATGAAAAATTGTGTTTTGGGGTTATTTCACGTGCTGATCACGATTATGATGTTTACTTTGTTCAATACTTTCACACAGTCGGACTTCCGTAGCAGAACAATGGACTTTTCGTAAATCAAGAAACTAATGTAAGAAGGAGTTATTAGAAAGTGAGACCATCATTTTTGAAATCAGCAGCTAGAAAAATATATGTAAGGTTTGAGCTTCCTGGGATGAACAATGCAAAAAATCAATAAAATCAATATCGATAGTTTTTTGATGGGCTAACATCAGTCTCGTGCTCTCCCCATATTTCTCGTGCATGTAAACTTTCGAAAACAGCACCACTCTGCGAAAAATTTGAGCTAAAGTCTGTGCCTATTTTTATTTACGTATGCCTACAGTATTATTAAATTACAGTGCCCGAACCCTGATCACTCTGGCTGGAGCTTTGCCAAGGTGTCCCCAATCATGTGCTAAAACCCCGTAGAATTCCGCGAACTGGCAGAGTTGGAGTTTCAGGAATCTTACGACCCACCGATGGGTCGTATTGTCGTGAATGTGTTAATGGTTATGTGAGATCATCGTCGCGGTCAAAGTTAGAAGAAAGGATGCGCTTTCTTCGTAGTTGCAGTGGTGGCTATCGCGGTATTTAGAATTGCATGTTCCCCTCGATGTTTTATAATGATTTGACAAGTTTATCAGCAAAGATCACTGAACTGGTTACTTCAGCACTTTTATATCAGGGACACCATGTAGAAAATAAACTCATTCGAGTGGTCTCATCTAAGGAGATGCATGATAGCCACTACTACTTAAAGACTGCTGCATGACGAAGGCGCGATACCTTTGGGCGCAATGGCGGCTTTATTAGCCGCAGAGCGCATGAGGCGCAGGATTTACAACAACGGTGAGGATAAGGGTACGTGCGCGCCGCGTTCGCGCCCGCTCAACTAATACTACTTCTGCGCCTTCGTCATGCAGCAGCCTTTATAACCAAAGCACATCTTCCCACCTAACTTTGCTCGGGGCGATGATTCACGATTTTGAAAATGAATGTTTCATACGTAAAACGAGGGACGCTTCACAAAATGTGCTTAAGGTAATTTTTTCTTGCCTTTCAAATTTCATTAAAGTAGAACGTAGGATATTTGATCATCGAGAGAAACTAAGAGAAAGGGAAAACGAATTATTGCCTAGAATATAAAAATCAAGAAGAAAAAACGATATGAAATGCCCAGATTAAGAAAAAGAGCTCAAAGGACAGGGATGCTGCGAGCTCTCAAGCCTCCGCCTCACTGTGGCGTACTGTCAAGCTAGAAAGGCTCCAAAAAGGCGCGTCCACGATGGTGTAATTGCACGAGTCGGAGCAGTCGTCGACAAATATCCTTTACGAGCTTTCCACCCCTTCTTGGCTTTCTGGATGCGCTTTGTCTAGGGGTGTGCTTGAAAAGTCGAAGAAGTGCTTTTTATGGCTCTTGCGGTTCTGGAGATTGCTGGAGGGGATAAGCGAGCAATCGGCAACTGAGTCGCGATTGGCTGCCTGAGCCGATAAGCAATTGCCCCCAAAAAAGGCGAAATGACAGTGACATGCAGCCAGTCGCTGTTTTGGCGGGAACCCGCGCCCTGCCCCTTCAGCAATCTCTAAGGCCAAAAAACGCCGAAAAAGCACTCTCTAGACTTTTCAAGCACAGCCTCGGACTTAGCGGATCCAAAACAATGTAGGCGCTAAAAGCCCGCACTTGTAATTTTCGCGAGCCATCGCCTTCAAGGCACGAGCCATACTTGATCCATTCAATCCACTTGATGCAATGATCTACACCGTTATTGGTCAAATCGGTGAGCTCTCCTTTCGACCTCCAATGGCGAAGCGGATGTCCATGTGATCCCCTTGATCCATTTCATCCCATTCGCTATTGGTCAGTTCACTTGAACAATAGCGAAGTGAATTAAGGAGATAAGTAAATCAAGTGAATTGGCATAGAGCCTACCGTATTCACGAGTGACGTAGGTTCCGGTCACAACAACATGCTTTGTGGCCCGATTTCAATGGGCGAGACTTTCGGGACGGGCGCGAAAAGGGAGGACATTTTGGGAGTGATCGCCGTGTGTAAGGGCCGCATGCACTAACCTCCCCGCTGGGGAGGGGATCGCAGCTCAAAAGAAAGCTTCATATTTTGAAGCTCCAAATATCTGGATTTCACATTGTGTACCCATCCGTAAGTATTCCTACTACCCTTCACTGTGAACACATTGAACAGGAGCGAGAAGCTGCACAAGCCGCATTTTCCAGCTTTTGTATGATCCCTGGTGATCCCCGGCGCTTTTCTTCCAAGTCATTTATCTTTCTTTGAAGTTGATGAAAATCTTCCAAAGCACAACAGTGCTAAGCATATTACTGATGAGAACAAATGAGTTTTTGAAAATTCGGATTTTTCGGTGAACTCCATTTTCGACCTGTGGTTCATCGCAAATTTCATGACTCCGGTACATCATTTGTTCTTATCAGCAACATGCTAAGCAGTGTTGGATTAGATATTATGCACAACTTTGAAAGCTTTTTGTTAACTCTGGAGAAAGAAAAATGACTTCAAAGAAAAGCGCTGGGGATCATCAGGGATCATACAAAAGCTGGAAAATGCGGCTTGTGCAGCTTCTCGCTCCTGTTCAATGTGTTCATAGTGAAGGGTAGTAGGAATACTTACGGATGGGTGCACAATGTGAAATTCAGATATCTGGAGCTTCAGAATATGAAGCTTTCTTTTGAGTTGAAATCCCCTCCCCGCGGGGATGTTAGTGCATGCGGCCCTAAGAGTCGTGTTTTACCCCCCCCCTTCCCCCTCCCTCCTCCCCCTCCCATCCTTCAACCCGCTCACCAGCGATTTGGAAAATGTGAAACCAGAAACTTTTGCCCTGACATAGTTATTAGGAGCGAGCCTGATATCAGCCTGATAGTTGTTCTCACTTGTGTCTCCTGTCATAAGGTTATACGAAAATAAGTTTTTAGAGAGAAGAAGAGCTTCCCGCATGTGGCGAGCGTGTGCAAATCAATGTTGGTGGAACAATTTTTGAGACATATCTTTCTACTCTTACAAGATTTGATAAAAGTGTAGGTGTCGCTTAGTGCTTCTATACTATTTTCGTTTGTTTTAAAAGGTGCTCTCGGTCATGGTTGCTAGTCGTTGGCGAAACCAGAAAGAAATTTTTGTAGACAGGAATCCAAAGCATTTTGCGAAAGTAAGATCAATTTCATTTTTTTCACAAACGACTTTTCAAAACGTTACTTTAGGTACTGGATTATCTGCGAAGCAGCAAAAATTTTGCAGCTCCACTGGATGATGAAGCTCGGGAAGAGCTTCGAGAAGAGGCTGAAGTGAGGTTGACAAAAAGCTAACCTCGTCATCTACAGATTTCAGTTCTATAACCTGCCTGGCCTTGTTGAAATGTGCTCGCCTGAAGTTTTCCGCGTCGGAGACAGTGTGCAATGGAAGCAAAGTGTCGTCGAAGATTTCTGTCAGTCCTTCGCAACGTACTGGTATGTACTGCTCAAAAGAATTTGATGCCTAAACTACCACTTCTAAAATAGATAATCTTTCAGGCTTTCAAAAGATCATGCCTTCGTATGCCCCCTCTGCGATGTTCCCCCTGAAAAATGTATTGGTAGAACGTATACCCGTACTGATTCCTTTTTTGTGAGCTATGTATATTTACTAGATGTAAAGCAACATATGTCATCGGCCAGAGGTACTATTCTTTCTGTAAGTTATGTAAAACTTCAGCTGTCCGAGTGCATTATTCACTTCCAAAGTTTTTGCAGCTCGATGGCACATTGTGCGAGGTGAAGTGGGAAATGTGGGTAACTCATCTTCCACAATCTGCGCTGCGCCTGGTGAAAAAGTAGCTTGCTCAGAAGGATTTTCTCTTCTTGTTTTTCTACAGAGCTGTAACAGGCTTATCAGTGGGATTGTAGTTTCTTTTGCGGAAAGTCTTGGATATGTATCTGTATCTGCGTGCTCTTACACTCTCTCGTAAATCGTTCAGCCATTTATAAATTTGCATTATGTGTTTGAACTCTGAACAAAAGTCTTCATGACAGTCTTCCTACATGAAGGGTTAAGTATCGTGGAACCTTAAAAATGTCGTTGGTGGCAGAACAAAAAGCTATTTCTATGTTTGCACAACTCATCATCAACGCGGCCATTTCAAGTTTTCAGTAGCTAAAAAACTGCAGATGATTGTTTTTGGTGTTTTTTACGCCAAAAAGTCCGCAACCTCCTTCCAAATAACTTTCCAGACAGTAAAGTTCCGAAAGTTTGAAGACAACTTCGGTATTATAGGTGATGTACATAGGCAACAAGTAACTTGATCGAGTTGACTTTGCTGGGCAAAATATATTTGCGGCGTTTCTCTAGCATTTTGTTCACAGTCACAAAAGTTTAAGCGCGAAAACGGGTACTTCCGCAGGAATTTGCCGCCACACTGATTGAGAACGGAAACTTCCGCAGCTTTTTCAACGAAGAGCTACTGGACATTTGTTTGCTGAATGATCAGAGGAACTTTCGGTCAGTTGTCTGAGCTTATGACTCGCCCTTAGCTTTTGTTCCCGAATGATTTATGAAACTACAAATACACGACTTTGCCAATAATGGATTCTCATGAAGTTCCCTGATTGGTAACATCTAAGCCAGTAGATCAGCGGCTTTTGATATTGAGACACTGACAGTATAGGTAAATAACGGATATCAGTCAAGTTTTCCACGGACTACAACTTTTTCTGAAGAACCAGAGCGCGCGTATTTCGATACAAGCAGGTAAATAGCATTCTCATGGCTCTCTCAAAAATGCACCAATCCGAAATTTGCTGATATTTCTCAGTTTAATCGATTCTAGCTCTTGTCTCAATAAAAAGCAACATGCTTTTCAACATGCTTTTCGCGAGTGCCATAACTCTAAGGATTGTCATCGCGCTCCTTTGAAGGAATTTCTTGTATCATGTTTTTTTTCGTTATGTGTGAGAGTACCGTTGTCCCAATGAAATATTATATTAAACGTTGCCAAACTTACAACTCAACTGTTAAACTGTTGGAATTCTCTAACTAGCAAAAAACTCGCTTTGTAAAAATCACAGTTTGATAATTTTATTCTTTCTCTCGACATGAGAGTGACTGCTAAGATAATATAGTTAAACAATAGCCACTTCTTAGTGTTTGAAAGTAGATTAATTCTCTAAGGCCCCAGGCAGACTTCACGCGATTTGATCGTCGCGACTGAATCGCGACGAGACAACTGTTACAACATCATTCCATGCCGATCAACTTGCATTCGGTTGTGGTACTTTTCCAGCCCGAAATTTTTGAATGTGAAATGAAAATGAATGGAAATCTTGGCGATTAGATCGCGTGAAGTCTGTCCGGGGCCTAAAGCGAGTTAAGTATTGTAGAATTGCTAAGAGAAGTTCATTCTACACCTATACCAGCTGCGCACCCTTGCGCACTCAAATAAGGAAGACTGAGAAGAGAAAAATAGAAGCAGAGCAGAGTTGCGTCAGTGGTCTAGACCTGTATATGAACATGCTCGTATAGATCTGGCTATCCGCATCATGCGGAAAGTTACTGTATAACTTCAATCAGTCACTACCTGAGCATCAATTGTAGAATTCTTTCGTGGTCGTGAAATCTAACTCTGGAACCTCGCCGAGCTAGCATATTGGGACGGACCAAATGGGAACACCCTTTATGGCAGCGAAAACTTTTTTTTATATATTCAAATGCAGTACGCTGTTTGGACCTCTTGGAAAGTGAACGATCTGGGTTAAGGTCAAATCTCCCTTGTCATGGACTGCTGCTTAGGTCCTCACTTTCCCCATTTGCCTCATAACAGCCCAGGAGCTTGCATTTTCACAAAAATATCCGATCAGATCGGAAAGCTTCCAAAAATCAGAAAACCACATAAATAAACTCAATGTTCCACAAGTTTCCCTGCATTTATTCTTCTCCGTTCTCCCCATACGACAACTTTCTCAGCCAGAATCACTTTTCAAGCAGGACAAAACAAGGACTCTTTCGAACCTCGTCGAATAAACTAACATCCAGGTCTACGTAAAACTCTATTCATCCTATACGCTTTGTAACCAGGAGCAGCCAAACCCACCGATTAAGGAATGGATTGTGGATGTTTGTCCGTTTATTTGTTTATTTGTATTATACACACAGGGTGCACACCAGGAAAAAGTGAAAAACAGACGAACATAACATAGATTGTGTATGTCGCGACATAACTCAACTATAGAATTATGCCTTGTTTCTTCGGAATAAATGGTCTCATCCGTGCACCGGGAAAGGGCACATTCTTCATAGAAAATGCATGCAAAACATTTTACAGATGACGAATGTGGAATGCGCTTATCTGATGAGAAATATAGTGACATTTCACAGAATTTCTTTCGCGAAACATCAAGGCAGATGCTCATATTATTACTCAATTACTCAGGCATTGGTTACACCCAATATCAATCCTTAATCCTTCGATGAATTAACGTTTAGCCTTAGGCAAGACTTTGCATGATTATTGGCTATTGCTCCATGCATTGAGCTTCGCTTCAAACTTTCCTCAAAGCTTCCAATAATTCAGAAACTTTAAGTTTTTTTTGTAGGGAGGTAAGAAAAGAGATTTTGGGTAATAAACGCGCTTAATATTGCTTTACCTCAGGTCTCTTCGATTATTGTTACATCATATCCTACAGATGTGATACCTTACCTGGGCTTGGATACCTTTGTGATACCTTACCTGGGCCTACCACGACTGGGCCATTTTCAGTTACTGCCATGAGCAGACCCTTTTTCGCCCTATCAAACTTACAACCCATGTGTTGGTTATGTGTTCTGAAATGCTAATTTTTAAAAGACCCTTAGAACAAGTGATCGTGAATTTGCTTAGGCGGCCTATCGAAGACCCTGACCGAATGCACATTTACATTTGGCATCATAGTGTAAGGTTACTGTAGTCATTCCGCACGTAATGTCATGGATCTTCACAAAAATTGTATTGCATGGGCTGTTTCACGTGGTCATGAGAGCCACATTCATTTTGTTCACCATTGTTCCATAGTGGGACTGCGGTAGCATTGGGAAATTCACAAACATCAAGAGTAGATGTAAGAAGGCAATAGAGGTTCCAGAAACTATCATAGTCGTCCTAAGCATGCTAGGAAACTTTTATATGCAAGATTTGAGCTTCTCAGAACGAAGAACGATGAATGCAGTCAAATACCGTATTTCTAAGCTAGCTTGAAGCTCTTGCTCGCTCCGTATTTCTTGCATGTGCCTTATGATCCCACTAATAGTATTCTCTGACTGTTGTATACATACCTTAACATTACTGTATCCTGCTACGGACCACTCTGGCTGGAGCTTCACCTAGGTGTCCTTGGTTATTTACCAGAATGGGATTCCATCGTCAAGTGGAATACTTGAAGCATCCAAAAATTAGGACTTACTCATGGGTAGCATTGTCTAAAATGATAGGAGACGTGCGACCCACCGACGGGTCATATTGTCATGGATATATTGAACATTGCCTTCCATCATGACTTATAATAACGGGCTAAGGGTTGTTTACGTTTTTTTGTGTGTGTGTCTGTCTGTCCGTTACGAAATTCGTAGGGCGAGTTCCAGCCAACCTCTTGAGCCCAAATTTTGCACAGCCATCCTAGCAGCAGGAAAGTTGACCGTGCAAAAGCACAAGCGGATCGATAAGTGGATCCTTTAGAAAGTGCGCGTGAAACGGGTCCACTTAACTTCTGACCAGCAAAATTGGATCTGTATATAAACTTTTTGCAAAGTCGTGGATATGTTTGACGTGCGAGTCAACAAAGTATGCCTTTCGACTGAAAGAACCACTATGAAATATTTGCACATGTGGAAACGGCGCCAAAAAAGTTCTGTTGATTAATTCATCAATTTTTCGATGTTCCACTCAACGAACTTGAGAGACTTTTGCTCATAGGTGTAGACCATTAGAGCCATTCTTCATAGCGCCAGTAATTAGTTATTTAAAATTTAGTAACTATTTCAAAAACGTATTTATCGTTTCATTTGGATTATTTCTTTCATACAAAATTGCCGGTCCACTACCCTATTTTCAGGTGTATAAGCCGCACCCTTTTTGCTCCAAACGCGAGCAGACCCAGGCGTGCCGCCGCGCATATGTCTCGCGAAGCGGTCGCCTTATCGCATACTGCTCTCACTTAACGCGCTCCATGATGACAGTCAGTCTTTTGGCGTGTTCGCCTTTAGAGTGAAAAGGGTGCGGCTTATACACCTGAAAATAGGGTAATTACAGAGCATTCGAAATGAACTGTTTCTAACATTTCATTCGTGATGTTTGGTGGGTTTCATTGTTAACACGCGAGTAGTTGGGAAGGACTCCCAACGTAATGGCAGAGCCACGTGCCAAACGTTATAGGCAAGCCAGCGCAGCCTTACTTTGATCGGTTGCAGGACATACCAAAAGCGACCAAAAGTAGATAAACGCATATGAGTCGACGAAGGCTAAGATTAAAGAAAATGCAATTGTTATTCACAGCCTAACACTGACTAACGCACGCCTAATTATGGAAATATCATGAATCGATGCTTTGACTAGCCGTTTTCGCCTGTTCATTATCAATTATTTTATTTTGTTGAGAAAGCTCGAAGAAACAAATGAATTTTGAAATTTGAGAACCGAGTTTATCTATGTTCCTGTAGCCATGAGTTTTGAAGTAAGAATGTGGCACTGTTCTGAGTGTAACGGTTCATTTTGATCGACTCATTTCAAGTGGTAGGTTCTGCACACATTATTAAGCGTAGTCAGTCCCAAATCAATGCGGAAGCCTTTTATGTGAAGCCGTGCGCGTCTTGATAAAAATATCATAACGATGAGAGCGAGGACACGCGCGTAGTCAAGATAGGATACAACTACCGTCCTCGACGCAAGCTGCGTTGCGAGACGTGAGCTCATCATAGCACTTTCGGCCCACAGCGGCTTAAATGTGGACTTCACC